TGAAGTTAGAAATTCAAATATTGTGACAAAATTAATTTTGTAGGGTGCCACAAGTTTGTTAAAATTTCCAAAGGGTGCCGCGACTAAAAAAAGGTTGGGAAACACTGCTCTAGGAGATGTTTTGATCTCTCTAAAGTTGCAGGATGTGTGTTGTCGGTTGAAAAGTCTGGACATTTTGCGATGACTTTGAAATGCCCAGGCCATACATACTAAACAGCGTCTCTGTAATATCTGTAATGTTGTGGCTTTAATGCGTGAGTTAGGCTGCAGTGAGCTTAGCTTATCCCTGGCCCCTGCGTGATATGTGTGTATATGAATATAGATATGAATAGAAATGAAATGAAAGTGACTGTTCAAGAAACAGAGATGATTTCTTATGCAGAAGTTTTATTTGAATTAGTTTGCATGAATGAGCAGCACTGTAATTTGTTGCATAGCTCATATGAGTTCTCAGGTGTTGCACAGAAATATCAATGTCGTCACAGATATTTCTTTAAAAATGTAAAATTCATTTGAATAGAATAGAAGAAAAAAGAAAGTCTAGTAAAAACAGTAATATTGAAATATTGCAATTTAAAACAACTCTTTTCATTTTTTAATGTATTTTAAAATCTAATTTATTTCTGTGATGGCAAAGCTGAATTTTCAGCAGGCATTACTTTAGTCTTCAGTGTCACATGATCCTTCAGAAATCGTTCTGATATGCTGATTTTCTGCTCAAGAAACATTTCTTATTTTCAATGTTGTGCTGCTTAATATTTTTGTGAAAACCAGGAACGAACAGAAAATTGCATTTATTTGAAATAGATGCCATATAGATCACACATTTTTAACATTATAAATGTCCTTACTGTCACTTTGAAGCAATGTATTGTAGCTGCCTCAAATTAACAATTAGGATATTAATAAGATCTCAGTGGTTTTTACCCCAGTTTCTGACTTGTAGGTCTTCGTACTTCAAAATAACTGCTTTATTGTCATTTTTATTCGTAGCCGAATTATTAGCCTTTAAAAGTGTGTAGTTGTTGATGCAAAAGGTCAGTTCAGTCTAGGGCTGGCCCCTAATAGTTGACTAACCGTAAGTCGAGCAGAAGAGGCTTGGTTGACCAAAATTTTATTAGTCGCAGAAAAAATTAATAAAAATCCACAGGTGAAGTCACGCAGATCTTTAAGGGCTGGTCTATGTGGTAGGCTAATAATACAGTACATCGGGCAGGACATCCAAACGCTCGCCTATCATTCATCGACCTCAAATATGGCTTATCATCTGAAATACGTAAGTAGTAGCAACTTTACATGGCCGCTCAATCAAATGTCGACCTAAAAAATGTGTGCTATTCAGTGTCTGTGCAAAGTGTTGAAGCTGAATAGCGCACTCACTGCAGGACAGATGGAGGCGCCGGTGATTCACTTGCTCGTAAAATACTCCGCCATTTTTGGTCATACAGATAAGAGTAATACATCTCTCCAATCTGTAAAGACTTGATGTTTATTTGTATGCACTCACAATAACAACAAAACATTGTGCTTTTGTAAAATAATTCAAGTAAACAGGAAGCGCTTTCTGCCGTCTCGGTCTGTGAACTTGAGCGTGAAACTCCGTGTAAACTTAGGCTACATTACAGACATGAAAAATATAGCCTATCTATAGAGAGTGAAATGTCTACTTTCATATGAACCAATTCGAATGGAAAACAAATATTATCAGATTATGTAATCCGTATGAAACATACAGGCGCATCCACTAATGCGGCGATGACGAGTCAGTGTTTCCGAGTTCATCTCTTAATCTGAGAACAAAGATGAATTATTAAAATGTTAATGCAGTCTCCTTACTGTTTTTCCCTGACACATTCATAATCATTACTTCTGCCGGTGTGCCGTGCCAAGCTTTATGCGTGTGCTTGAGCGCTTATTAGGCAATGTAGGCAATTAAAGGCTCATTATTATAATTTAAATTATTTATTAATAAACGTGCTATTAGTCGACTAATGCTTCAAATTAATGACTTCTAGTTGACCAGAAAAATCTTTAATCGAGGGCAGCCCTAGTTCAGTCTATGTTAGATGGTTTGCTGGCCTGATTTGATGTCTTAATGCCCAATTGTGTCTCACATTAGCAGAGCAGTTTCAGTTGGGCATGCGTATCTGGGAATAGGTTAAATTAGATTACTGCCTTTGGAAAATAGGCATCGATTGGCAAGAAAGTCAGTGATAATCTTGTTGGAACCATTTTGGTGCGTGACAGCTCAGTGCTGTGCAGTGTGTGTGTGTGTGTGTGTGTGTGTGTGTGTTTCCTCCATGACTCTTACCACAATTCCACAGTGTGTGTGCACCGCATGTAAATGTATAGTTCACTCAGAAATGAAAAATCTGTAATTATTTACTCAACCTGATGTTGTTCCAAACCCATGACTGGCTTTTTACTGAGAAAGAGAAGAGTAATCCTGAAGATTGTTTTGGTTGTTCTTTTTCATGCAGTTACAATGAATGTGGATTTTAAAGGGGTCATATGATGTTGCTAAAAAGAACATTATTTTTTGTATTTGGTGTAATGAAATGTGTTTATGCGGTTTAAGGTTCAAAAAACATTATTTTCCACATACTGTACATTATTGTTTCTCCTCTATGCCCCGCCTTTCTGAAACGTGTCGATTTTTACAAAGCTCATCGGTCTGAAAAGTGAGGTGTGCTCTGATTGGCCAGCTATCCAGTGCGTTGTGATTGGCCGAATACCTCAAGCGTGTGACGGAAATGTTACGCCCCTTACCATATTGTGATGCCGTGTCCCGGCCGGACCCACGAGACAAAAGAATTCAAACCCATTATAAACAAGGCATTTGTTGCATCCAGTGGGGACATAATTACAGATTATAATGACTTATACTGTCTTTTTACGCGTTGCGTTGCATCGCGCCGCGTAAACATAAAACCATGTCTGCATTTGTGATCGAAGAAATGACAAACAACAAGTGCTACTCTACACTGCTCAAAACTCGGCGAGTGAGCGAGGCCAGCTTGAGTGAGCGGCGGCGGGCGGGCTTGAGAACGGCGCGGCCGGCGGGCTTGCGGCAACCACATCGTCCACGGTGAAAGTCGATGAAAGTCGATCCACAACGCGAAGTTGATGTATTTCCTCAGCGACCAGCACGGATCAGCTCCAGGCATGACGAAGCGGATATCGTCCTCTTTTGGAAGGCCAAACAAAGTAGTTTCGCTTTCACAATGAAACACACAGCATCTTCACGACATGGCGGCAGCAACAATACTACAGCGAGAATAAAAGTTACGCCTTCTTTCTTTGCGTGAACATTTTGGCGGCGTTATGCAAATCTTCCCACATCGTGACGTAGACATGTGGGGGCGTGTTAGAATGAGCCGTTTTAGGTAGGCGTGGTTGACTCTTAACTTTTATAAAGAATATCTCTTTGGATTTGAGACTTTAGTCGTTGCAACTTTATTTTTTGCATCTTTATGCACCAAGAGCTTGTAACACTCCAAAGAGAAAGGAAAAATTTAAATAGCATCATATGACCCCTTTAACCTTACAAAAGGATTGCATTCTTAGCATCTTATAAATTGTCCATAATTAATTCAAGTTTTCAGAAGTGATAAGATAGCATTGTGGGTGAAACATACCAAATTGAAGCTGTTATTCACTAATAAGCTTCACTTTCAGTGGATAAAGCTGTGACTTAATACAATACAATACAATATTTATTTATAAAGCACATTTAAAACACAACCCAAGTTGACCAAAAGTGCTGTACAGATTAGAATAACAAGTTAGGAATAACTAGACAAGACAAGACAAATCAAATTTAAAACACAACAATAATAAAACAAAAATTGAACCGATGATCAAGGGGTATTGAAAGCTAGAGAGAATAGATATGTCTTTACAGCAGACTTAAAAGCAGAAATAGAGGGAGCTAATCTAATGTGAAGAGGAAGACTGTTCCAGAGTTTCAGACCTGCAGTTGCAAAAGCACGATCACTTCATTTTTTTAAGTCTAGATCTAGGCGCGATGAACAGACAGAGCTCACTGGACCTCAACCTTCTAGAAGGGGTGTACGAACAGAGCAGGTTTGTCAGGTACTGAGGGTCCAAATTATTGAGGGCTTTATAAACAAATAAAACTATTTAAAATCAATTCTATATTTGATAGGTAACCAGTGCAGTGCAGATAAAATAGGAGTTACTGGCTCATACTTGTGGGACCCAGAGAGTAGCAGCTGCGTTTGCACTAGCTGTAGACAGAGAGGGAAGACTGAGAAACACTGCAATAAAGTGAATTACAATAATCTAAACGAGTTGTTACGAAAGCGTGAATCACCATTTGGAAATTACTCTGTGATAAGAAGATTGATTAATCAGTCAATGAATCGAACTCGAGAACCGGATAAGTGTGAATTGTTTTTTATGTATTCATTGAAAAGATCTCATTCAAATGAATGATTCATCCATGACTCATTCTTGATTCATGAATGAATCAGTCATGACTTCAACTCTTGCTGTCTTTGGCACATACATAAATTAATGAGCAAATTAGCAATGTTAAATTCAAATTCAAATTTTCCTTTTGTGTTTTGCAGAAGACAGAAAGTATTGCGGGTTTGGAACAGCATGATGATGAACTATCACTTTAAGTATGAAAAAAGTACATTTGTAAGATCAAATTCAGAGGACCGATAAAAACCGACAAGTCTGCAGTACCCTGTGTGTGATCTTTGAGCTTCCCACTCACTCAGGCACCATCGTTACCACCAGCTCAATTGTAGGACTGCCTCCCAGGTTAGAACTATTTAACCCTGGAGAGTGGACAAAGCTTGCTGAGCTGCTCTGGTTTGAGATTGAACCCCAGCCGTAATGATGATGATGCCCATCAGGACCTCCACAACTGTCATTTCATCAACAAAAGCACACTTATTTCTGCTTCAAAGTGCCCTTGCAGGAGTAATGCATGCCGTTGATGCACTGAAGACAAATGGCAAATGGCAAAACAATTGTGGCATTAATTTGAACTTGGCTGTCAGCTGTTTGGGTCTACCTAATGAATGACCCATAATGTGCAGGGGGAAAAGCAAATAGTGTGCACGTTTATGATTTCTAATAAAGGATGAGAGGGATGTGTTAATATACTGCTAAGTCAGGCTGAAAGTGACCATGAATAAAACATCCATTTAATCTAATCTTTTTACCCCGGCGCACACTCCATTAAATTGTGTTATGTCTTTAAACCAGTCACAACTCAAAATGATGCCTTTTTCCAGACAGGATGGCTCCATCCATTCCCTAAACCAAAAAAAACAAATTGCAAAAGGGAGCAAAAATGCTGTATTTAAAAATCAGTGTAGGAAGTTTGCAGAAGAACATTGCTGCCTATTATTGAAACTATTTGAACGCCGTTCCCTCTCAGGTGAATTACCTCATTTTGAAGGGCATGGCAGAGTAATTTCTGCATGAGTCGAAATTGGGTTAGGTTCAGTCTGAAATTACTTTATCACCTTTCAGTTCTCTGCAGAGATGGAAATATAAAAATTCGCACTCAAATCATCGCACATTCCCATAATAGACTGTGCCAATGAAAATCGATATCTGCCTGACCTTGGAGTTCACATATAGAGCTTTAATAGACTCACACATATACTTTCAGCTGTAAACAGTCACTTTACAAAGATAAGTCGATTTTTTTATGAATATAAACTGTGAAAAAAAATTTGTGAGATTGTTAGTGGAAGTTTGTTTGAGGTCATCCAGGTTGACCTCTTGTTTGACCCCGAAGTCTTTCTCCATTGACCTTTCACTATATAATTAAGTGGACTGCTCAGGACATATTGATTCGGACACAGAGGGTGGCTGATGTATTTATTCATTCTTTTTCTGGCTTGTGAGGGGGCATTTTGAGTGTGATCACGTTGTTGATGATCTGTATGCACTGGAGATAGTTATATCAACTGCTGTGCCTGTGTGTGTTGGAATATAAATAAAAACTCACTACATTACAGGATAATACAGCATTTGTGTTGTCATACACTCTCAAACATTTTCAGCATGAGCAGACTTTGTACAGTGAAATTTGAATCTTGGATCCCATGAAAACAGCATCTGAGCGTTAATTTAGCTCAATGGGTGCCACATGCTGTCAACCACCATTTCCCAGGAAGTGAGAACATGTTGATGGCTTATGAATGAATGTGTCATTTGAATAAGTATTTGTTGAGACTAGAACAATTGAGAAATAACATGAAAACTTCCAAGAGATTTCACACTGAAAAATTTTAAATTATTTTAAGTGTTTTGTATTTGTGTAATTCAAAAGTGACAGTATTCACTATTCAATATTCAATATTATACAATATTTTCTTTCTCGAACAGTTCCGCCGGTCGTCTCTGTGCCACAGCAGTCTTTTAATGCTACTGCGGACTATGGAGAATCTGTGACCTTCACCTGCCGGGCCTACGGCTCACCTGAACCTGATATTACTTGGCACAGGTATGACAAACTTATCACCATTGCTGCAAACTCAGAGTGTGGATCATGTTCAATTTTATGGAAATATACAGATATCAAAAGCCACTTTTTGTGTATATAGTGCGTTCATTTGCAATTATAATGCTTTTCATTATTCAGAAAATCATATTATTTGAATATTATTTATGTTCTATATTTATTATTATTTTATTTTATATAATATTTTTTATTATTAAGTAATAAAAAAATAAATAAAATAATAAAAAAATTATAATAACCAATTTTTTTCCCCTCGGAAATCAAGAGTTGTAAAGAGTTAAGGTGTCATGCAAAAACTGAGGAGCAGTAATTGGGGAACAGGAAAGAGGGTAGTGCAGCCAAGAAAGAGCTGTGATGACAGGGAATGGGACACATTTATTCCATCCTTAATGTGTGGGATTTGAGTGACAGCAGCCCAAATTGCCATCTACTTAATGCTGCCTAACCAAGTTTTTTGAACAGTGAGGAATGTTGCAGGCATTCACTTATCAAAAAATGTGAAAAATGTAAAATGTTAAAATGGCCTGTTGACATGAAAGGATTTACTATAAACAAAGCTTAAGGTAAATTATTTTACTCATTATTATTATTATTATTATTATTAATTTACCTGAAAAATATATTTTGTCTTTAAAAGTTTACCACACATATGGACATTTTGTTACACTACATGAATATTTAAATAAACTAGTAAAAAAAGGTGCTTTAATGGTAAAATTAACCAGTCACATGTACATTTTTACCCTTTTTAATGTTAAAAGAGGTCAGTTAACTAGTTAATTAGTCAGCTACCATTTTAAATTGTGTAATTACATTTTACATTTGTAAAAGATGGATGGATGGATGGATGGATGGATGGAACAATAGACGTATGGATGGATGAATGAATGATAGATAGATAGAACAATAGAACGATTGATGGATGACTGGCTGATTGACTGAATAATCTGCTCCATCCCGATTATCTGCTAGCACCTACATAATAGCGTTAATTCCAATAAGGGACAACCTGGAGACTGGAAAGTTACTAAGGTTACAGACCTGCTCAATTATCATTGTGCCCTTGAGCACTGCACTTGGTTGCACCAGTGAGACTTGTGTACAATTAGTGTCACTACAGTTAATGTGTTGTAATGTCCTCTGGCTGAGAAACATCTGCTCGATTTCAACAGTTTTGTTGTAAGCAGCTACTGGAATGGAGCATCCGTCTGTTTGTGTCTCTCTGTTGACTCTGTCTGTATAGCCAGAGAGAGTGATTTTATTCCTTTCTCCCCATTTCCTGTAGCCACACAGGTCTCTCTGCTTTAAATTAGATTTAATTTCCGTTCATTCCTCTCCTAACTTTATGACAGTCTGAAGCTAAGCTGTAATCTTCTCTAAAAATATTTCATTATTCTGTCCCCACGTCGACGGCATACCTATACGGTATGTATATTGAATGTAACAGAATATTCTGAAATGTTGTATCTCCATCTATGATGAATAACCCATCACCTGGCATTTCTTCGCTTCCTACATCTGCATTATGTATAATATTTTTTGATTGGCTGGTCAGGGAGATTTTCTTCTTGCAATATGAATAATACCACAGTGTTGAGAATTTAGGCTTTGTTCAACTGATATGTGTTGTATATGTGTGGTTTGTCAGGAAGGGAGTGCAGCTCCAGGAATCGGAGCGGTATGTAATGAGAGCTCGAGGTATGACGCTCACAGTTCGAAACATTCAACAGGACGATGGGGGCTCCTACACCTGCAAAGCCTCTAACAAGGCAGGAGAAGTTGAGCACGGACTGTTTCTCAAGGTTTTTGGTGAGGACACCTTTTTTATTGGGTTACGTACCTCTTCTTACTTTAAATAGGATGTTACCTGTCAACCTAAGCGTGCTTGCTGTCTTGTCAAATTATGGTTAAAATTTTGAACTGCCCTAACAATTTTATACATTGTTTGAAAATCTCAAGCCACAAACTAGTACTGTATATAATGAAAGGAAAAGGACAGACTTTGTCAGGATGATGTGACATCACCCAGAATAAGTGGTTGTGATGGCATGAATAAATCATGTTAATTAAAGCCTTGTTGTTTACTATGTTACTGCATATTTTGCACTGGTGTTGTTGTGTTTGTTGCTCCCTTTGAATTTTGTGTCATGTGGTGATAATTGTAGTTGTGGGTCATTGAGTATTATTTACATGCAGCAAAAAGCAAAGTATGGAAAATCAGCTCATTATAAAAACTTGAGGAAACGTGTGTTTACATTTTGAAATTGCCAGGGTTTTCTTAATTTTTTGTGCTAAAATAAACACATACAGTTAGAGCTATGTAATAAAATTTGCATGCAAAGCGAATGTGGGGTAATGAGCAAATTCCAAAAATAAATAAAAAAATAAATAAGAAATAAAAAAAAAATTGTAATATACACTACCATTCAAATGTTTGATGTCTGTAAAATTTTTTTAGTGTTTTTAAAAGATGTCTCTTATGCTCACCAAGGCCACATTTATTTGATCAAAATTTTGTAAAAACAGGAATATTGTGACTTTTTTTTATTAGTTTATATAATCGTTTTCTATTTTTTTCTATTTCAAATTTTATTTTATTCCTGTGATGGAAAAGCTGAATATTAATCTAGTCTTCAATGTCACATGATCCTTCAGAAGTCATTCTAATATGATGATTTAGTGCTCAAGAAAGTTTCTTATCAAAGTTATTTTCTTTGAAGTTTAAAGATTATTTCTTATTTCTTTAAAGTTAATTTGTTTCCGGGGCAGTCATGGTTAGAGAGTCGGACTTGTAACCCAATGGTTGCGGATTCGAGTCTTAGTACCAGCAGGAATTGTAAGTGGGGGGAGTGAATGACCAATGCTCTCTTCTACTCTCAATACAACGACTGAGGTGAGACCTTTGAGCAAGGCACCGAACCCCCAACAGCAAAAATGGCTGCCTACTGCTCCGGGTGCGTGTTCACGGTGTGTGTGTGTGTATGTGTGTGTGTGTGTTCACTACTCACTGCTGTGTATGTGCACTTGGATGGGTTAAATGCAGAGCACAAATTCAGGAATTCCTGAGTCTAGCACATCGGACCACCTTTCCGGACAACTGCTTGTTCTCGTTTTTGCACGCTGGGCTTAACACCGCCACACAAGCGCAGTTTTCTGGGGAGGGCCCTCGAGGGAGCTTCAAGGACTACATGGAGTGGGTGCTGGTATCATGTGGTTCATCCCTGACTGCCGGACCAGCTGACGACGACACCAGCCCCACTCCATACCCAGAGCCCAGCCAACCATCACCCCACTGCACGGAATCCCAGAGCCCACCACAGACGGAGAGCCAAAGCCCGCCGCAACGAGCCATTGCAAGAAAGAGCGACAGAGCTGAGGATCATCCCGGAGCCAGATCCTCACCGATCGTCTGACCAGGTGTGAGAGCTGGCAACAATGCACGCGATGGTGGATGAAACAGTGGAGAGCGAGGGGGCAGAGGTAAGCCCCACCCACTGTACCACCGCTGCGGGTGAGCTGAGGGGGGACTCTGAGGATTTAATAGACTTTTATTCAGTTATCCCCAGTCTTCCATCATCTTCTGAAATCTCTGCCTGTCCTGTTACGGCCAAGGAGGTCGTTTATGAACTCCCTGTCTGTCCTGAAACGACCATGGAGGTCTGTTTTGAACTGTTTGTCTGCCTGGAACTTTCTGTCTGTCCTGCCACGACCATGGAGATCGTTCCCCTGTCAGTGGCACTCTCTGTCATGGGTTTCGCCATTTGGTGTGTGTGGGCAGCATACACCATCCCAGAACCCCCAGACTGTCATGAACTCCCACCCAGCCTCCCTCTCCTACCTCCTCTCATGAGCCATCCTCCATCTTCTGCCCCGCTGCCACTGCACCCTGCCAGCCCCTCAGCTCACCCTTAGCCCACCATCTGTGTTATGGCTTTGCCGCGGGTCTGCCAGTCTCCATTGGCATCATGGCTGGAGGATGCCTTGTCTCCTCCTCCAGCCTCTAAGTCCTGTACTCCGCCTCAGCCCATCGACCCAGCAGCTCCACCATGGCTCCTAGCTCCCTCCTCCTTACCGTGGTCCGTCATTCCACCAGCTTCACCGGGTTTCCTCATCCCGTCGACCTGCGCTCGCCTCGGGAGTACACTTCTGCTTCGCCTTGTCCCTTCGTCCCTCTGGCTCTGTTGGGCTCCTCCCTCCCTCCAGCTCCGCCTTGGTCCTCTGTCGCTCCGGCTCCACCGTGGCCTTCTGGATCCCCGCATACGCCTCGGTTGCCTGAGCCATCTGCTCTGCCTTGGCCCTCTGGATCCTCTGCGTTGACCTGGCTCGTCGGCTCTCCATCTCCGCCCTGGGCTCTTCTTCCACCTGCTCCGCCTCCATCAGACGGCCCCCTGGTATTGTCAGCCCTTCCTCCACCATGGCTCCTCCCTCCATCGGCTCCACCATGGGTCACCATCCTGGCTGGGCTCTGGACCAACACCTGTCTCCTCCTGCTCCGGGCTGCTCCCTGACTCCTCCCTCTGTCTGATCCACCGTGGTTCCTCATGATTCCTACATGGCTCCTCCCTCCCGTCATCACCGCCTTGGTCGTCTGCCTGCCTTCCTGCCTGCCCTTCGCCATCCCCTGTTACCATCCCAACTCCACTCCTTAGTCCCCTCCGTCCCTCCATTGTTGTTTTTGTTACAGCGCGAGGTCGCACCTGGCCGGAGGGGGGAGTACTGTCACTATCATGGACTTTTAGTTTGTTTTCTTTCCTCATGCTTCCCTTGATTTAGTTTCCCTTCTGTGTCTGATTGTGTCATTCTGTTGACCTGTGTTAATTATCCTCGATTGGTCTGTGTATTTAAGTTGCTCCATTTCTGTTCATTCTTTGTCGGGTCTTGAACGTCAATACTTTGTGTGTCACCAACCTGCCCTGTTTGGATTATAGCCTACCTATCTGTGGATTATAAAAGCCTGTGTGTTTGCTATGTCGTCTGCCTGTCCGTTCTTCGGCACAGTAGTGTGATATTCCATTAGTTTGGCGAAATCCTTACAGATGCCATTTCTCCCTAAGAAGGAACATAGCTGAGAGAATACTGCCTTGTCTAATATTTTTGACAGAAAAGGGAGATTTGAGATCAGTCCGTAATTAAAGGGGTCATATGATGCGATTTCAATTTTTCCTTTCTCTTTGGAGTGTTACAAGCTCTTGGTGCATAAAGAAGATCTGTAAAGTTGCAAAGACTAAAGTCTCAAATCCAAAAGAGATATTCTTTATAAAAGTTAAGAGTCAACCACGCCCTCCTATATATATATAAACAGAAGACAGGCTTATTGAAAATGCACATTTATTCTCTGCCAGCAGGAGGCGCTTTAGGAGTGGCAGAAATAGCGATTTCCCCGGAACAGCTGTAATCAAAGCAGTGTTCCGCTCATAAACATGACTTTATCAGGCATTATAGGAAAGATTAAATGAAAATGACGTCGAAACTTTTCTAAAGACAGTCAGTTCCCTTCAAAGATGCATTCATAAAAAAACACCCACACTGCGTTTTGATTTTGAAACATGCAGTTCTCATGTTTATTCAAAGAAGTCAAAGCATTTAGGAAAATCTATTTGTAGCGGTCAGTGTTGATATTGTGGTGGGCACCACAAATAAATCAATGTATGGGAAACACTGCATTGACAAATTAATAATATTCAGAATAGGATCTATGACTTCTGGAAGCACCTCTTTTAGTAGCTTAGATGGAATAGGGTCTGATATACAAGTTGCTGGTTTTGGGGATCTATAGTGCACTGTCTGATGTCATACTGTTGCTAACGGCTGCATGGTTAGAATTTTATCTCTAATAGTATTGATCTTGGAAGTAAAGAAGTTCATTACTGCTATGCTGTTGGGAAATGTCTGCACCTGTTGATGCTTTATTTCTCGTTAATTTAACAACTGTATTGAATAAATGCCTGGGGTTGTGTTTGTTTTCTTCTAAAAGAGACTAAAAGTAAGCAGATCTAGCAGTTTTAGAGCTTTTCTATAAGTAGAAGTAGTTTCCCTCCATGCAATATGAAATACCTCTAGTTTTGTTCTCTTCCAGCTCTGCTCCATTTTCTGGGCTGCTCTCTTTAAGGTGTGAGTGTACTCATTATACCACGGTTTCGGACTGTTTTCCTTCATCTTCTTTAAGTGTAAAGGAGCAACCATATCTAAATTGCTATAAAAGAGAGAGTCCTTAGTTTCTATGACAACATCGTTTTTCTGAGCTATTGGATTTGCTGAGGAATTGAGACAAGTCAGGAAGATTATTTACAAAGCAGTCTTTTATTATAGAAGTGATGGTTCTACCATATTTGTAACAAGGAGTTGAGTTTGCAGCTTTAGCAACATGGAGTATACACAAGACTTGATAATGAACCAAGATATCATCACTCTGCTGCAGAATTTCAACACCATTAACATCAATTCCATGTGACAGTATTAAATCTAAAGTATGATTATGACAATGAGTAGGCCCTGACACATGTTGTGTGACCCCAATAGAGTTCAGAATATCTATAAATGCTGATCCCAATGCATCTTTTTCATTATCAACATATTAAAATCACCAACAATTAAGACTTTATCTGCAGCCAGCACTAACTAGAAGAAAATCAGCAAATTCTTTGATAAAGTCTGTATGGTGGCCTGTATACAGTAACCAGTACAAACAAACGTCACCGGGGATTTTTCATTAACAATTATTTCTTTAGATAATGATATGTGAAGCACCATTACTTCAAACGAATTATACTTGAAACGAGCGTTCTGAGAAATACTGTCAGGGGAGCATGAAAGGAGGACTCATAAGCACTGAAATACTGAAAATATTACTATAAATTGTAGCAACACCTCCTCCTTTACCTTTTGGATGTGGCTCATGTTTAAATAAAATTTATATAAACATCTTATATTAATATATCTTGATCTTATCGCTTACATGCCATGATTGCCCATTTATGTGTATGTAACCATTAGGTTTCTGAACCCTGGTTTAGGTTATGGTTGAATTTTAAACTACAGTAAATAAAAAATGTTGATCTTCCTTATGGATAGTGCAACAACAAGAACGCTGATGTTTTGAAAGGTGATTGACAGGTAAATCCCTGAGCTTCCCTTTCTCCAGTCCGGCCATGCGACATGCTTTTCTTCCATAAACAGATAGCCTAAATTGCACGGAATGGGTGATACATTTTTTATGGCAAGGAATTTCGATTTCGATTTTCATAAAGCTGCCAACATCTTCACCGATTATTCAGATAGCACCTTGTCTGCTCATGTAAATGTATGGAGATTTATTCTGTAGTCATCAGAATCCTTTCCATGTGCAAGCAAAAGGTATTCTTCAAAGCAGCTCATTTAAATGAGCCTCCGTTATTGGATGGGAGTTTTGTTTTGCAAAGCGTGGTGGGAATCCGAGTTGTAACTTTCCTTTATGACCCCTGACAGCTAACAGAGACGGGGCTGATTGGGTTTCCATTCAGCTAGGCACGTATCTTCTGCATTTCCTGCATGCTCATAAAGCTTGTTTTTGGCTTTAATGAATGGCATCCCAAGGTTCTAGAGCTGGATTATCTCATCACATTTTATCTCAGCACTGTTTTGCCATTTACTGATATGTTTGTGGGTTTTTCACAGTGGTATTTTAGTAATCTTCTTAAATAATGCTTATTGTTCAAAGTGTGTAATGAAACTCTTTGACATTGTATAAACCATGGGATGCATTTGCTGTCTATTGACAAATATGTTAAAGAAGTTGTTAAAAAGTGGATTTTAGGCATCTGTTTGCATGGATGAATGAATCATGTAGTTCCTGAAGAACATCTAAATGCAAATCAGTCTTTATCGTTAGGATTATGCTCATTTCTTAGATTTATTGTTAGTTGATTCAATCCCTAATGTCAGCATAGCAAGAGAAAGTGATTATGCTGATAAGATTTTTTCTTACTGTTCTACTGTTGTCTTTTATTTATCCGCTATTATTGTGCTCCCTGCGGGAAAGCATTTTTTTAATGTATATTTATCAGGTTAAGCGCTGCAATGGTGTCACCCCATTGCTTAAAGGCTGCCGCTGTTGTACATCAGTTACCCTACTAATGAGCGTTGCTACACAAGACAAGCCTTATCACAGATTTATGATGAGAACCTTAAGTATTCCTATGCCACACAACCCCTGCAGTTTACTAATGTTTATTTACCAGTGGTAGCCTGTTAGATTCAGATAGCAACAGATGTGTTGCGCTTGTCAATGTGCTGTTTCTTTTCCTGAACTCCAGACAGCAAAATGCTGACCTTTCTGCAATATTCTGTTGCTTTCTTTCAGCTGGGTGCCCATGAAGGATTTTTGATTGTCAGACCAGAATGATGTTGTTGACGCAAAGTTCAGTCTGATATTTACTGAATCGTTACCCATGTGCAATATGTACTCTGAAAGAGAAATCTTATTGAGTAGTAGATTGTCAGAGTGTCCAGAAGAAAAAATCTATTTTGTATGTATATGTTTCCTATAGATGATGTGAAACTCATTGAGGCACATTCTATGTCTTTATTCTGAAAATGAAAAGATGATTACATATATAACAAAGTACGTAGTTCAGAGAAGGAGGAGGCGGGAACCGGCAAACATTTAAACATAATTTTAGTAAACAAATAGAAAATTGTAAATAGCACGACAGCCCCTCGCAGACGACTGCTGCGTACAAACAGAACCAAAACAACAACATAAAATCCAGGCCTGGTCCTCTCTTGTCCTTCACTGTCGTTACTCCTCCTTTTATCATTCCGGAGCTCCTCCATGGGACTCGAGACTGGTGAGTGGTGCAGGTGTTGCTCATTATCATTAAATCCACTGGCTTCGCTCTGTTCCCACGGCTCTCTGCCCCGCCCCTCTCGTCACAACATACTTCTAAACTACTGTGTATGTGTCAAGGCTTTCAGTGATGGATATCATATGACTATTGTCATCTAAGCTTGGTTGTTTTTTCCAGTTCTGTATGTTTCTCTTTTGTCTTTGTCACAATCATTTGTCATCTCTTGCAGTCCAGCCCCACATTACTAAGCTAAGGAACGTGACGGCTGTGGAGGGCAGTGCTGCTATGATCTCCTGCAAGGCTGAGGGTGAACCTTTGCCTGAAATCTCCTGGAGGAGAGGAAGTGATGGGCACAGCTTTTCAGATGGAGATAAGGTACAATATTATTCTTAGAGTAAATAATGTTTTTTAAAAAAACATTTTCAAAATTTTTGGCACGGTAAGTTGTTTTAAAGTTTTTAAAAGAAATATCTTATGCTCACAAAGGCTGCATTTATTTGATAATGTTGTGAAATATTAAAATTTAAATAACTATATTTTAATATGCAGTGGGTATAGAAAAGAATCACCCCCCTTTCAAATTATTAAATTTGGTTGCTTTGCAGCCTGAAATGAAGACAGACACAGTTTTTGTTTTACCCAACTGTATTTACTCAGTACAACTTATAACAACCAAGTGAAAGCTATAACATGTCAAAAAAAAACAAAAAAAACAATCACTGAGTTGGAAAAAAGATCACCCCCTCCTAAAAATTACTTGTGAACTTAATCAGTTGTAGCTAATCACCTTCTCAATGGCACACAAAGCCATTTGATGTTCAGCTGTGGTCACTTTGACTGATTTCAGTCATTGGTAGTGCAACTGAAGCAAACAATTCGCTATGGGTGGTAAAGCACTGTCAAAAGATCTCCGGGATAAAGTTGTGGACAGGCACAAGTCAGGAGATGGGTAAAAAAAAATTCAAATGATTTATCAATGCCTAGAAGCACAATGAAGTATATTATTAAGAAGTGGGAAGTATTTGGTACAACACAGACCCTCCCTGGATCAGGACGTCACTCTAAACTGGATGAAAGAGCCAGGAGAAAACTGGTCAGAGAGACTACGAAGAGGCCTACAACATTAACACCAAAATATATGTCTGGCGGAAATCCAATACAGCTCACCATCCAAATAACACCATTCCTACAGTAAATCATGGAGGTGGTAATATCCTGTTATGGGAATGTTTCTCTGCAGCAGCGACTGGAGCACTTTTCGGGATAGAAGGAAAAATTAATGGGGCAAAATACTGTAAAATTCTTGAGGAAAATCTGCTGCCGTCTGCCAGAAGGTTGTCAATGGGAAGAAGGTTTACCTTCCAACATGACAGTGACCCAAAGCACATGGCAAAACTGACCACACAGTGATTGAAGGAGAAAAAGGTGAATGTCCTTGCATGGCGTAGTCAAAGCCCAGACTTAAACCCCTTGAAAATCTGTGGAATGACTTAAAGGTGGGGTAAGAGATTTTTCAAAAACGCTTTAGAAAACTGATTCGGGCCGAGTAGCAAAACAAACTTGCAGCCAATCAGCAGTAAGGGGCGTGTCTACTCATGATGTGGAGGAGAGAGCATTCAGTGCACAGGACGGACATTAGCGAGCCTAGCAATAGAGATAAAGATAGAGATGGCGGATAAAAAACAACAGAGGACAACATCTGCGGAACAAAAGAAGGCTTAAGGCAAGAAGTAGGACCCGTGTAAATATCGGATCAGCTTTCCAGCGCTGGAGAGAACTGAAGGAGCGGGAAGGCCTGCGATCGGACGCCGAGGTTGCTTTGTTTCTTCTCAATAGGTGAGTAACACAGTGTCTGCGCCGCAACAGCTGAAGTCTGTCTAGTACACTGGACACGACAAAGCGACTGTTGAAAATCATTTGAAATTTGTGTCAATACATCATAAATAGAATGCAGCAGCAGTTTTCTGTCGGGGATTTGTCGTGTCGTGCAGCACCGCATACAGTGTAGAGCATAGATATGTATATATATATATCTATGGTGTAGACAGCATCACTGATTATAATGAGTTCCATAGTATTTTGTCGCGCCGCACCACTCGCGTCCGGTGTAGACACGGTGTAACATTGGTTTTGCTTTGTTTCACAGAACTAAACGTTGCCTGGGTTGCGTACGTATGTGTGGGGCGGAGCTATCAAAATAGGGGTGAGACCCTTTTGGGGTAGGGGCGTGTACCCCACCTTTAAAGACTGCAGTCCACAAATGGTCACCATCAAATTTAACTGAACTTGAGCAGTTCTGCAAAGCAGAGTGGGCGAATATTGCAATGTCTAGATGTGCAAAGTTAGTAGAGACATATCCCAACAGTATAAAGGGTGTAATTAAAGCAAAGGGTGTTTCAACAAAATACTGACACAATGGGGTGATCCTTTTTCCAACTGTTTTTTTATTTTTTTCTGGCATGTTGGTGTTATATCTTTCCCTTGGATGTTATAAGCTGCGCTGAGTAAATACAGCTGGATAAAACAAAAACTGTGTCTGTCTTCATTTCAGGCTGCAAAGCAACATAAGGTGATTCTTTTCTATACATACTGTATTTTAATGTGATGGCAAAGGCGAATTTGCAGCAGCAGTTACTCCAGATCCTTCAGAAATCATTATAATATTCTGATTTCTTAATGTAATCAATGATGAAAACTGTGATGCATCTTTTTCAGAATTATTTAAATAGAAAGTTCAAAAGAACAGTATTTTTTTTTTTGGTAATTTTACTGACACTAATCTTTTGAATGGAAATCTTTGTCTTAATGTGATCTGTTAATGTGATGATGTAATAAGTTTTGGGACAGCAAGCACTTTGCTGTCATGTACATTACTTTTTTTGAATGTTATGAACGTATACTGTACTTTTTTTTATAGTTTTTCATAAACCATTTCCAAGAACATGTGTACACTGAAAAGAAATTCAACAATTTTCACTCAGGAATTGCTAGTAAATTTTTGAGATTATTAGAAAAAAAAACAGCAAGTAACGCACTGAATTAAACATGACATTTTGAAGTGGAAAGACTGAAATAGTATTTTTCTTGTAAAATGTACTCCAGTAATCTTTGTTAGATTTACAACATTTAAAAAAGCATTTTTTCAATGTATTGTATTTGCAGGTTATTTTAACCACCATTTCCTCTCAGTCACTAAACAGTGTAGAATTTTACCAGCACATTAACTGCCAGATATGTGTGACGTTCGGCCTTTGCTCACGCCCACAATAATAGTCATGGATATAATAGACTAGCACGCAGAGACACAGCCCTGAGGCACACTCAGTCTGTGTACCGGTTGAAGGCTGAATAAGGCTTTCTGTGCTCCAGTAATGTTCTGCATTTCCTACCGGCTTATGCTCTGTGTCTGTGCTGAATGCGAATGTGACCAGCAGAATGGCAAATGCGATTGCAGTGGCCAGGCGCGAAAGATGATGGGAACAGAAACTGTCAAAGATCATTAGAATTCAGTGAAAGGTGGGTTGTTAGCATCAACAATAGAGGCAAATGGAGCCTGACTCCAGGGAGGAACTGTGAAAAGACTCCCCATCACAGTTAATCTTGCGAGAGCTGCTCAGATAGCGATTAGAATAGCCTGCATGGCTGGGAAATGAAAGAGGATTCATACAAAGGTGTAGGAGAGCAGCGACGTTTGCCACCACTCAATATGAACAAAATTAGTTTGATTTAAGCTGCTCTTTCAGAGGTGTGGGGATGTGGAGGTAAGGTAGGGGAGTTAGTCTGCTACAATTACACAGGGACCGGGACCAAACCTGTGCTCTGAATTCAAAAGTTGTACACAATTGATCTGGGAGCTTCTTCTCTCCCATCTGTTTTACTCTGAACGGTTAAAGAGTTCAAAATGGACACCATTCAGTGCTAGGAACGAATTGTTGTGCGGAGAGAGATTTGACATTTGGCTCTTTAGCATGTCTATGGGGGCCAATTAACAGCGTAGAATATGACATTACTCACTTTGGAGGTGTCTACATGCAGAAAAAAACTAATTAAACACTTTGTACATTAAAAAATGCAGCTAAATCCATTGACCAGCAAACCAAAAAAAAACGCCCTGGTGGTGCCTAAGACCAGTCCATCCTTGACCAGGTGGTGGGCCTTGTTTTGTTGTTCCCGGTTTAACAACATTGAACCAGCTATGTTCCAGAAACCAGCTTTCCTGTCTTAAAACAAATAGTTCACTTAAAAATAACTTACTTTCTTCCATGGAACACAAAAGGTAGATTTCTGAAGAACATCCTGGAGCACTCATTTCAATATAATAAAAGTGAGAGGTTGTCAAATAACAAAAAGCACCATTAAACTAAAAGATCGTCAAACTATAAAGTCGTCACACTATATTCCAAGTCTTCTGAAGCAGTTTGATGGATTACTGTGACGATGAGACCAAGATTTAATTTATTCACTGAAAATCTTGACATCGAGCCATTCCTCCATGGTGTTTTCATAATGAAATGGTGACTTTATTACAAAAGTAGTGTCTATTCATAAAAGAATCATTCATTTGAATCATGTCTTTTCAATCAATTGGTCTGAATCGTTTGTTCACAAATCAAACAGATCCGGTCCTTCCCTTACCAAAAAGTAGTATACTTCAAGTTTATTTTAGTAAGTATACTTAAGTAAAGTTCAAGTATATTTTTAAGTATACTTTATGTAGTAAGTATACAAATATCAGTGTACTAGTAGTATACTTGTAAGTGTACTATTTCAATACTCCTTGGGACTAAATTGGCCCACTTTCTAGTATATAAAAGTATACATTTAAGTATACTTTAAGTATAACAGTAGTCAACTTTGAATACACAACTAGTTTACATCAAAATGTTTAGTTTGTACTGCAACTATACTAAAAGTGAACTTATAGGTATACTGATAGTTTACTAATTAAATACTTGTAGTAGCATTTTTAGTACACTTTGAAGTATAGTCTCAGTAAACTACTAGTTTAGTAGTTTTATACTGCAAGTATACTCGTAAGTTTTTTTAAGTGAACTTTACATCATACTTGAAGTATACTACTATGTCCCTATTTAGGTATTAATTTGTATATATTTTGTTACATGAATATCTGAACATAAAAAACATCAAAAGAACAGGGTATCTGCTTGTAAACAAAAACATTTTATTCTAGCTTCATCCATTCTTTTTTTAAACACTTGAATGTGGATAAGTTTCATAAATAAAAAAGAAAGAAATAAACAACATTTTGAACAAAAAGCTGAAAAAAAGACTATGAA